TTTCTAGCATACTGAAATAATAAAATGATGGTTTAATTGCTTATTAATGGACATCTACTTCTGGTCAACATGGAATAACAAGGACTAGAATTCCCCTCCTGCCTGGATACACTTAAAAGAGTAGTAATAACAAACAAGATACAGGAAACAACAGATTTTAGACATTGAATAGCAGGCATATCAGGTCAGTGATTTCTGAGAGAAGGTAACAAAGTGAGCCCTTTGTTGGATTGCCCCAGTTTATCAGCTAGGGAGCGTTTCCAGGCTGCAGAAGAGGAAGGGGAAACCCAGAAGGAGCCCAGCGGTCTCCCTGTATTGTGGACACAGTTTTGGGAGTCTGGGTTGACCAAAGCAGCTGTGGGGAAGTGTGCCAGACAGGAGAGGAATGGACAGAAAGAGAACTACAGAGATCTGCAGAGGGTCTCTCTTGAGTCTTCATCTGTGTACGATCAATGAATGTATGTGTGCAAGGAAAGTCTCCAAGGCTGGGGCGGGGGCCCTCAAAAGGAGCAGAGGAAAAAATCCTTGGTGCCCACTCAGGGGTCAGGAGTAAGTGTCTTTACACTAGCCAGAATGGAAAACTGTGCAATTCAGGGGAATTTAGGTAGAGTGGGAAGAAAGGTATTGCCTCAGCATTGGAAAAAATTACCTGTATGGTAAAGAGTGCTCTGATACTGTCTAATACCTTAAAAGCAAGTCTCAAAAGGGTCAAAGTTTTTCTAAGTAACTTAACTGCATTCTAGAACTAAACTCAAGAATATTTATAAAAATATAAAAATCTCCAGCAGTCAACAAGGTAAAATTCATAATGTCTAGGAAACATACAAAAAATTATCAGACAAAAAAAAGATGGGAAGATGCAGCTGTTAATGAGAAAAACAGAAATGGACCCAGAAATGACATTGATAAAAGAATTTCAGGACATGAATATTGAAATGTTGTTATTGTTATGTGCCGTCGAGTTGGTTCTGACTCATAGCGATCCTTTGTACAACACAATGAAACACTTCCCGGTCCTGTGCCATCCTCACAATCATTGCTATGTTTGAGCCCATTGTTGCAGCCATTGTGTCAATCCATCTTGTCGAGGGTCTTCCTCATTTTTGCTGACCCTCTACTTTACCAAGCATGATGTCCTTCTCCAGTGACTTGTCCCTCCTGAAAACATGCCCAAAGTACCTGAGACAGAGTCTTGCCATCCTCCCTTCTAAGGATCATATTGGGTGTGCTTCTTCCAAGACAGATTTGCTCGTTCTTGTGGCAGTCTGCAGTGTATTCAATACTGTTCACCAGCACTATAATTCAAAGGCATCAATTCTTCTTCGATCTTTCTTATTCATTGTCCAGCTTTCCCACACATATGAGGCAATTGAAAATATCATGGTTTGGGTCAGGTGCACTTTAGTCCTCAAAGTGACATCTTTGCTTTTTAAAACTTTAAAGAGGTCTTTTTCTGCGTATTTGCCTAATGGATCCTTCGATTTCCTGACTGCTGCTTCCATAGGCATTGATTTTGGATCCAAGTAAAATGAAATCCTTGACAACATCAATCTTTTTTCCATTTATCATGATGTTGCTTACTAGTCCAATTGTGAGGATTTTTGTTTTCTTGATGTTGAGGTATAATCCATACCAAAGGCTGCAGTCTTTGATCTTCATCAGTAAGTGCTTCAAGTCCTCTTCACTTTCAGCAAGCAAGGTTGTGTCATCTGCATATTGCATGTTTTTAATAAGTCTTCCACCAATCCTGATGCCACACTCTTCTTCATATAGTCCAGGTTCTTGGATTATTTGCTCAGCATACAGATTGAATAAGTATGGTGAAAGAATACAATCCTGATGCACAGCTTTCTTGATTTTTAAACCATGCAGTGTCCCCTCGCTGTGTTCGAAAGATTGCCTCTTGGTCTATGTACAGGTTCCTCATGAGCACAATTAAGTATTCTGGAATTCCCATTCTTCCCAATGATATCCATAATTTGTTATGATCCACACAGTCAAATGACTTTGCATAGTCAATAAAACACAGGTAAACATCTTTCGGTATTCTCTGCTTTCAGCCAAGATTCATCTGACATCAGCAGTGATATCCCTCATTCCACATCCTCTTCTGAATCTGACTTGAATTTCTGGAAGTTCTCTATGGATGTACTGCTGCAACTGCTTTTAAATGATCTTCAGCAAAATTCTACTTGTGTGTAATATTGATGATCCTGTTTGGTAATTTCTGCATTCTGTTGTATCACCTTTCTTTGGAGTGGGCACAAATATGGATCTCTTCCAGTCAGTTGGCCAGGTAGCTCTCTTCCAAATTTCTTGGCATAGATGAGTCAACCCTTCCAGGGCTGCATACATTTGTTGAAAAATCTCAACTGGTATTCCATCAATTCCTGGGGCCTTGTTTTTTGCCAGTGCCTACAGTACAGCTGGGACTTCTTCCTTTAATATAATTGGTTCTTTGATCATATGCTAACTCCTGAAATGGCTGAATGTCGATCAATTCTTTTTTGTACAACGAATCAGTATCTTCCTTCCACTTTTTTTTGATGCTTCTTGTGTTGTTCAATATTTTCCCTATAGAATCCTTCAATATTGCCACTCAAGGCTTGAATTTTTTCTTCAGCTCTTTCAGCTTGAGAAATGCTGAGCGTGTTCTTCCTTTTGGTTTTCTAACTTCAGGTCTTTGCACATTTCATTATAATATTTTACTTTGTCTTCTTGAGCTGCCCTTTGAAATCTTCTGTTCAGTAATTTTGCTTCATTTCTTCCATTCACTTTAGCTACTTGACATTCAAGAGCAAGTTTCAGAGTCTCTTCTGACATTCATTTTGGTCTTTTCTTTCCTGTCTTTTTAATGACCTTTTGCTTTCTTCATGTATGATGCCCTTGATGTCATCCCACAACCTGTCTGGTCTTCGGTTATTAGTGTTCAGTGCATCAAATCTATTCTTGAGATGGTCTCCAAATTCAGGTGGGATATACTCTAGGTTGTATTTTGGCTTTTGTGGACTTGTTTTAATTTTCTTCAGCTTTAACTTCAACTTGCCACATGAGCAATTGATGGTCTGTTCCACAGTTGGCCCTTGGCCTTGTTCTGACAGATGATATTGAGCTTTTCCATCGTCTCTTTCCACAGATGTTGTCGATTTGATTCCTGTATTTTCGATCTGTTGAGGTCGACGTGTATAGTCGCCATTTATGTTGTTGAAAAAGGTATTTGCAATGAAGAAGTCGTTGGTCTTGCAAATTCTATCATGCGATCCCTCGTGCCATTTCTATCACCAAGACCATATTTTCCAACTACTGATTCTTCGTCTTTGTTTCCAACTTTTGCATTCCAATCACTAATAATTATCAGTGCATCTTGATTGCATGTTTGATAAATTGAAGTTGGTAAAAATCTTCAATTTCCTTATCTTTGGCATTAGTGGTTGGTGCGTAAATTTGAATAATAGTCACAGTAACTGGTCTTCCTTCTGGTGTATGGATATTATCCTATCACTGACAATGCTGTACTTTAGGATAAAAAACCACATTGTTGTCAAGTAGATTCGTAGTGACCCTATAGGAAAGAGTAGAACTGCCCCATAGGGTTTCCAAGGAGTGCTGGTGGATTCCAACTGCCAACCTTTTGGTTAGCAGACTGAGCTCTTACCCACTGTGCCACCAGGGCGCCAAAGCAACAGACTGACATTTGTGAAATGCTTGCAAGAAATGTACTGAGTAGCTGTCTGTAAACATGAAAAAGCAAGGGAAATTAAGGATGAGATCTGGACTGTTCTGACCCAAATAAAACACTTTCTTGAAAAATACAGACAATGGAGGAAAAGTTTTCAATTGTTTGAATGACTGAACTTAATGTTGGTACAATGAGAGACCCACATAGTCCTTTATTTTATCCGTTTGGTTTTACAAATGCCAATACAGGTTATAAAATAGAAGAAGGCATTGTAAGGATTATAAAAACAGGAGGAAGAAGAGGGGGAGATTTGGAGATTTTTTAATAGCGTGTTCACGTTTTCGACTCCAAAAAGATTTTTTCTCCTCTTGTTCAGTAATAGTATTCACCTTTTGTAATGGATCCTTCTAAATAGCCCTAGAAAATTCATGAGGTGTAAGACGATGCATCTGCTTTGGACCTCAGGAAGTAGAAATTGGGAAAAGAGTAACAAATAGAATGGTATGTATTATTAGTGAATCACCTTGAGGCTGTCCTTAAAGACTGTTTGAAAATGCCTATAAGTTTAGAAGACACTAACCAAAAAAAAAAAAAATTCTGTCTTGGAAGAAGTACAGCCAGAATGTTCCTTAGAAACAAGGATGGCAAGACTTTATCTCACATACTTTGGACATGTTGTCAGGAGGGACCAGTCCTTGGAGGACATCATGCTTGGTAAAGTGGAGGGTCAGTGAAAAAGAGGAAGACCCTCTATGAGACAGACTGACACAGTGGCTGCAACAATGGGCTGAAACATAGCAACAATTGTGAAGATGGTGCAGGACGGGGCAGTGTTTTGTTCTGCAGTACATAGGATCACTATGAGTCAGAACCAACTTGACGGCACCAACGACAACAACAAATCTTTATCAGAGCAGATCGCCAGGTCTTTGTCCTGCAGAGCCGCTGTGTGGGTTTGAAGAGCCAAGAGCCAACCTTTCGGTTAGCTGTTGAGTGCTTAACCATTGCTCCACCAGGGCTCCTTCCATAAAGTTGTCAGCCAAGAAACCCCTATGTAGCACAGTTCTACTCTGGAACACATGAGGTCACCACGATTCGGAATTGACTCACCTCAATGAGTTTTGTAATTTGCAAGGTAAGAGCTAAATAAGTGGAGTGATGAAGGTGATGATGGAGAGGAGGAAATCAGTCCTTGGGGACTAAAAAGGGTAAGCAAAATGCGACAAGGACTCAGTTGAAAAGGGCTCCTTCCCTCCTTTCTGGAGGAAGTTTCCAGATACCGATTTTTTCCCCCTTGGCCTTTGGCCATAAGTAGACTTACCTCCTGATAGAGCCAGCAGGATGCTGAGACCTGGAACAGAGAGAAGAGGGGACAGTTCAGATGGGGAATGCCCAGGGCTCTGCTTGGGGCCTTTTCTCCTACTGCTCAACTCTACACACCAGCTTCACTGCACACTCTCCAGGCAAGACAAACACCATGGCATTGTATATTATTGAGGCATGGGTGGAACATGTGGCTGCAGCTTGTGTCCTGATTTCTGACATTCCAGCAGCTATTTCAGCGTTTTCTCCAAGACTGGGACCAAAAGGCCAGTCTGCTTTCTGTATTCAACAGTAGAGCTTTACTGAGGAGCCCTGGTGATGCAACTGTTAAGTGCTCAGCTGCTAACCAAAAGGTTGGTGGTTCAAACCCACCAGTGGTTCTGCGGGAGAAAAGACCTAATTATCTGCTCCCCTAAGGATTACAGCCAAGAAAACCCTAACAGGGCAGTGCTACTCTGTCACAGGGGTAGCTATGAGTCAAAATCGACTCGATGACACCCAGCAATAACAACGATATCTTTACTAGTCTGCTCGTCTAACCCAGCACTGTCCATTAGCAATAAAACATGATATTCTGATATTTGCTACAAGATGGATAAGTGAAGTCAGTCACAAAAGGACAAACATTGTATGATCCCACTTACATGAAATATCTGTTTTTGTTAGCTACCATCGTGTCAGCCCCCGACTCATGGCAACCTCATGCACAGCGGGATCAGGTGTATGGAATTCATTGGCTAGTTTTCAGAAGTCAATAGCTAGGCCTTTCTTCCTAGACCGTCTTTGTCTGAATGCTTCACTGAAACCTGTTCAGCATCCTAGCAACACTCAAGCCTCCACTGACAGATGGGTGGTGGCAGCAGATGAGGTGCATTGGCCGGGAATGGGACCTGGGTCTCCCATATGGAAGGTGAGAGTTCTACCACTGAGCCACCACTGCCTCGTCCCACAGCCCCAACCCTTCGTGAACACTCCTTCACTGTCTTCTCCCTGTCCTGCCTCCCCTGGGCTTCCTGGGGTCACCACGCAATCAACTACTTACACCCAAGTCCTTGTCTCAAAGTCTCCTTTGGGGAGCCCGACCTAAGAGACTTGGTGTGAGAGATACTAATAGGACAGACAGTTATTTCTGGAGAAAGTGCCAAATTGGGGGGAGCAACCCAGGTTAGCGCCAGGGGAGGGGACTTCTTTGTCGCACTCACCTGAGAGGAGGAGCAGGTACCTGCTGCCCATAGTGCCGAGACCCGGGCGGCCACCACCTGAGATAATCAGGAGAATGTTAGCGTGCTGTTGTAGTTGCTGAGTGCCGTCGAATCGATTCCGACTCATAGCGACCCTACAGGACAGAGGAGAACTGCCTCAGAGAGTTTCCTAGGCTGTAATCTTTATGGAAGTAGATCTCCAGGTCTTTCCTCCTTTGGATCAGCTCGTGGGTTTGAACAGCTGACCTTTCGATTAGCAGCTGAGTGCTTAACTGTTGCACCACCAGGACTCCTTTAGCATACTATACAGAACGACAAATATGTATGACTCGATGGCACCTAACAACAACATATACCATATTATCTAAATACAATATATAATTATACAAATATTATATATTTATGTATAGTATATAAATATATATAATATGATAAAAAATATGACATATAAATCTGTGGGTTCCCTGGGTGCCACAAAAGGTCAAACACTCGACTGCTAACCAAAATGTTGGCCATTCAAACCCACACAGAGGTGCCTTGGAAGACAGACCTGGCAATCTGCTTTCAAAAGGTCACAGCTTTGGAAACCCTATGGAGCACAGTTCTACTCTGACACTCATGGGGTCTTCATGAGCCTGAATCGACTAAACAGCAATTGTTTTTTCTTTTTTTAATATATACAGACATATAAATATAATCTATAAATATATAATCTATAAATTAAAGATTTAGAAATTGTATCTAATAAATTATATATGGTTACATAATATATAATTGATATACAATATATTTATATAAATATGTTTCTATAATAGGTAAACTACCTCTCTTAAAAAAAAAGCCAAACTCACAGCCATTGAGTTGGTGCCGACTCATAGCACCCCTACAGGACAGAGGAGAACTGTCCTACAGGATTTCTAAGGCTGTAAATCTTTACAGAAACAGACTGCATCTGTCTCCAGTGGTGCTGCTGGTGAGTTCTAAATGCGGACCTTTCAGTCAGCAGCCAAATCTTTAATCAGTGCACCACCAGGGCTCCTCATTTATATATATTTATATAATAGGTAAACTACCTCTCCTATTTTATAAGAAAGGTTAACATTCCATACACAATTTTATATCTATGTGTGTGTGAGTGTATCCATTCACAAAGTCATACATACATACATGTATGAGCATATACAAATGCATCAAATGCACGCATATGTGTATATATGTTTTTGTCTTTGCATGAGATCCCTGGAAGATGCCTAAGAAACTGCTAACACCGCTTGTCTTTGAAAAGAGGATCTGAATGCCTGGGAAGCAGGGCAGGAAGGAGACTTTTCACAGTTTGCCCTTTTGTACCTTGTGAATATTGAACCAAGTGGTTGTATTTTCTATTCAAAGAATTAATGGTTTCTAAAGGAGTAAATAATGGAAGTATTAGACATCACCGAAGTCCCTAGTGGTGCAAACAGTTAATGCACTCAGCTGCTAACTGAAAAGTGGAAGATTTGAGTCTACCCAGAGGCACCTTGGAAGAAAGGCCTGGTGATTTACTTCTGAAAAATCAGCCATTGAAAACCCTATGGAGCACAGTTCTACTCTGACACACATGGGGTTGCCATGAGTTGCAGTTAATGTGACAGTAAATGATTTCTGTATTTTCTTAGACAGCACTATAACTTATCTTTTCAAAGAAGACTTTAAAAAGTAATGCAATAAATGTTTGCCCTATGGATATCATTTTAAAATTTAAGAAGAACTGTCCTAATGTTATTTCAGTGAGTAATTGAGCTTAGGATAAAACTTTCAGTGTAGATTAGCAAAGATGATATGCTCTGCAAATCTGCTAAGCCACTCAAGAAGTGGTGCCATCGGTGATAAAGACGCTGATGAAGATCTAAATGGTTTGAAGACAGTCATTTCACAACATGTAAGTGGAAATAAAGGCAACAACCAAATATGTGTAACAAAAATAATTTGATACCATATATGAAAATAATGCTATGGGAGGCTATTAAAATAACATAGGAATTGGTATCCCTGAATGGTACATGTGACAAATGTTGACTTGACAAATGTTGTGTTTTCTATATATTTTTTTAAAACTTTTTTTTATTGTACTTTAGATGAAGGTTTACAAAACTAATAGTTTCTCATTAAACAGTTAGTACACATATTGTTTTATGACATTGGTTAACAACCCCATGATGTCAACACTCTTCCTTCTTGACCTTGGGTTCCCTATTACCAGTTTTCCTGTCTCTTCCTGCCTTCTAGTCCTTGTCCCTCGGCTGTTGTGCCCCATTAGTCTTGTTTTGTTTTATGGGCCTGTCTAATCTTTGGCTGAAGGGTGAACCTCAGGAGTGACTTTATTACCGAGCTAAAAGGGTGTCCGGGGGTCATACTCTGGGGGTTTCTCCAGTCTCTGTCAGGCCAGTAAGTCTGGCTTTTTTTTGTAAGTTAGAATTTTGTTCTACATTTTTCTCCAGCTCTGTCCAGGACCTTCTGTTGTGTTCCCTGTCAGAGCAGTCAGTGGTGGTAGCCGGGCACCATATAGTTGTACTGGACTCAGACTGGTGGAGTCCATGGTAGCTGTGGTCCATTAGTCCTTCGGACTAGTCTTTCCCTTATATCCTGTTCTCTTCATTCTCCCTTGCTCCTGAAGGGGTGAGACCAGTGGAGTATCTTAGATGGCAGCTCACAGGCTTTTAAGACCCCAGACGCTACTCACTAAGGTAAAATTTAGGACATTTTCCTTATAAACTATGTTGTTTTCTATATTTTTACAACACACACACAAAAAAAGGGACAAAGCGATTGTGATATAGCATTGGAATAAAATGGCAGTTATAGAGCAAAATACATGTCACATTTAAAGGAATTATCAATGCTAACAGGGGCATGGCATTATGAGTAATTTTTAAATTCTTCTTAGTCAAATGTAATTATAAGTTTCATACATTACTTTGGTAATATGAAAATAATAATAGTAATAAAATATTTTCGTAGAAGAGGAAACAAAAGGGCAAACAAATGGTTTCTCTAGGCAGCTGCATCCCTTCTTTGTGGTCCTGTCTTGAAGTATCCATTCCAGTTTTGTCTCAAAGTTTGGAATCCTTTAGGGCCTGCCTGTGTACCTGTGGGGTAATTCTCTCTCAATGCCTCACCCACAGTTACGCACTGACTATAAGACACTTAGATGGCATTCACTGCACCTGAGTTTGAATCCCAAATCCACTGTTACTACCTTAGTGGCCCTAAGGTGGTGACTGTACCACCGAGCCTCAGTTTTCTTATCTGCAAAATGGGGCTGAGAAAGAGCATGTACTTCATACTTCACACATACTGTGCTGATTCATTGAGATGACCTTCCACAGCATGTGACCTCTGCCTGACACATGGCAAGTGCTAGATAATGTTAACTGTGATGAGAACAGTGAATGATAATGGCAGTGATGGTGGTGATGGTACTGTTGGTGGTGGTGGTGATGGTGGTAATGGTGAATATGATAACGGTAGTGATGGTGGTAGTGGTGGAGGTGGTGATGGTGATGATGGTGATGGTGGAATGTTGGTGGTGATGATGGTGAACATGATAGTAATGGTGGTAGTGGTAACAGTGGTATTGGTGGTGGTGAAAGTGGTGATGGTGATGGTAATGATGGTGTTTGTAGTGATGGTGGACATAATAGTAATGGTAGTCGTGGTGATGGTGGTGGTGAAGGTAGTGATAATTGTGGTAATGCTGGAGGTGGTGGTGGTGAAGGTGGTGATGGTGGTGGTGATGAGGGTGGTAATGGTGGTGATGATGATGGTGGAGTATTGGTGGTGAGGATGGTGATAGTGGTAGAGGTGATGGGGATGGTGGTGGCTGTGGTGGTGATGGTGGAGTATTGGTGAATGATGGTGGCAGTGGTGGTGGTGATGGTGGAGTGTTGGTGGTGAGGATGGAGATAGTGGTAGAGGTGGTGGTGATGGTCATGGCTGTGGTGGTGATGCTGATGGTGGTAGAGGTGGTGGTGATGGTGATGGCGGAGTGTTGGTGGAGATGATGATGATGGTAGTCGATGGTAGTGGTAATGGTGGTGATGGTGGTGGTGACGATTGCCATGACAGAAATGGTGATGGTGGTGGTAGTTGGTGGAGATGATGATGATGGTA